GGGTAGTAACGCCACCCTTCCTTCTTTTTTTATGTTAGGCTCTCTTAGATTTGTGGTAAGTATGAATAATCCTTTAATCAAAGCCCATAGTTGGAATACACTGTTTCTACTAATTTCATGTTACGAGCAAATCAGATGGTTAACGCATTTGTATTATGGGTTAGATGTGACACTCCTATGAAGATAACTAATGGTAAAAGGTAAAAAAAAATACAAGTTAGATTATATGTGGTTTAAAGATGGTAAGGACTACTAGCAAATCAAAGGATATGAAAGAGTATAAAAATGTAAAATTTTCTGGGCAAAAAAAATAAAACTGAGCAACTCACAAGACTTTAGGACATTTCGAGCTTCGTATGATCGGCCTTAGTTGATCAGCATCCATAAGATTAGTGAGTTATCTGTTCTACTTTTACTCCTAACTCTAAATCTCAACAATAAGTTTACGAAGTTTCTAACCAAACTGGTTCATTGTTTTACAACTTAACACTGTTTTCGCCACAGTATGAAGCAAAGTGTGGGAAACCGGTATTAGGAACCCGACTGTTAGCGAAACTATCTCAGAAAAAGACGAACATATTATACATTCTCAATCTAGGACATTGGATCGATGTGTAGAACATTTTAGGGATCAGTTCAATTGGTCTGCAGCCACACTTTGGTTTCCCACGATCTCCAGTAAACCTGAATGGCGAGGGAGAGCAGCAGGCCGTGACAGGTTTACTCCTGAGATTTTTAAGGATGGTGGTCCAGTATTAGCAGTGAGGTTGACTGAGGTCTTAGATAGAATTTGGGAACTGGACGTAATTCCATCTGGCTGGTCGTATCACATCAGACCAAACTACCCTCAATAAGTGATTACAGCTGATTCAGATTGAGACAACTTCTAAGCTAAAAATAAGTAGTGTAATTCTTGCATAGGTAAATCGCAGTAAGTTCCTATCCGAATGTGAAGTATCTCGTTTCTGGGTGTAAAGACTTTTTAAGAATAACGCATTCAGTCCCCAGGTGTTTTCAATCAGTTGATTACGGGCACCTACTAGTAGGAAAGGTACACCTCGAAAGGGTCCAAAATTTCGTTAGCTTTTTTCACCGTTGTGTCACCTCCTTTCATCATCCCAATTACAACGCTGTCTAGCTGTTCTTTCATTGAAAGATGAATCGGGGGGGACATTTCGTCATCTAAAACTTGTTAATAAATGAAGCTACACCATATCGTCGGGGAATCGCAAACCAAAGAAAGGGTGAGCTATATGCACTTTGGAAGTTTGATTAGAAACCGGTTTTTGTTAATGTTTTAGTTTTTGATAAACAGTTTTACTAAAACAATTACTTCTTGTCCATCTTATTTTCAGCTGGCTTCGCAAGTTTTAATAGACGTAACTGTAAGTTTTTTGTTCGCTTTATTGAAAACACTGTTATACCGTTGCTACGTCATCGACGTTTTACATAGCACGATATTTGCTTGTAAACTTTAGAATATTTTTATTTCTGTAGAACATTGTGAATGATAGTTCAACGTGCTTAGGCTACTAAGCAGTGAAGAGAATATGTATTAATGAATGATTTTTAACTTTATAAACGTAATAAACATTTGAATGTGTCGCGAATCAGTCTTTTAATTACACCGATAGATCAATTAACGTTAAGTTTCTTTGGCACTGCGTAATTGAATGAAAATAACGGAATATCGGAGTAAAAACTAGGTGGTTATTCTCGCCTGGCTTTTCCCTGATATCTGTAGGAATTTGTTGAGAATTATTGCGTTAAAACGAATTTGCAAAAACTGTAATGAGATTATTGTGAAATTTTGAGGAAAAACGCAAAATTCAGGGGAAATTTTTGAGAAAAAACCCAAATTAAGGGGGAATTTTGGGGTTTTATTAATAAATATAGGCCGATTTCCCAAAAGTGTCATGAGATCCTGGGGAAATTCCCCTGATCTGGGGAAACTTTGAGATTGGGAAGTTTAGGGGATTTTGAGGCTATTCATGAATAGCCCCTATCTATTTTTTTAATTGATGTGTTTCTGTTTGGGCATCTTATTAGTCTGGAAACAATTACTTTGGTGTACGTTCATTACTTTTTCCGCTTAACACGGTTCTCGCATCTTCTGTATTTAATTTTAAATGAATACGGGGTTGATAAGTCCTCGGTACATCCTTTTGTGAAAAGCACATCTCGAAATAAAATGTTCATAAACCCTTGAAATGATCGTGCCGCGTTTCTGAGACTGAATAACAACTGAATGAACTCGAATGATCCAGGTGTGGGTAATAGTTGTTGTAAAGACTTCATCCTCATCTACTGGGATATCGTGATATGCTCTGACTGTCGGTTTCAGTATATGTAGTCAAACCTTTCAGACTACGTAAAATCAGTAGCAGTTGGCTCTGGATACCTAGCTGGTATAGTGTGACGGCTGAGGGCTCTGTAATCTCCATCTGTAGAGATGATGTCCATTGGCTTACAGAGGAATGGATAGTATCCAAATCTAACTTAGTTCAAGTTCAGGTTTAGCGATCTTAGATTTACCACGAGCTAATCTCTTGGAAACACAGGCATGGGTTCATTTTAATGCGTTACTTTTAGCTTATTTTCATAAGCTTGAGGATTTGATTTGGCCAAGTTTTGGAATTCAATCATATCCTGGAGCTTTGTAGTTCCTATCAGCAGTCTGTATCAAATTTAGAGAAATGACGTAAACTTGTGTAGCTCGAAGTTTATTTTAGTGTCAAAAGGCGTCAACTAGAAATTTATATTCCTCTAAAGAGCCTAATCCAATCATTTGTAAAATCTAAGTCTCTCACAGTGAACACCCAGGGGGTCATCTAAATATTCCAAATCTAATGTCAATCTTTTACGCAAAAGTAGCGATTTTAGTTTTATTATTAGCCTGAACGTGACTAGGGTTATTTGTTGACTCAGTTCGGTTTCGTCCTTAAAAGGGGATGTAATGAGACCGGTTCCTAGCCGCATGATCCTTAAAGATACAATGAGATTTATATTAGTGATATGGCGGAACGAAAACGCAGAACCACGTCCTTAGCCCATTGTGATTTTGGTTCAACATTTCTTCTGTTTTTAATCCAATATGACTACTCACTGTAATTTTTGTGCTTGATTGTAATGTGACATTTTACTGACCATAACATTGATTTATTGCAGTGTGATGTCTATTCAAGATATGTTTTTTGTATTGGATTGACGCGAACGATATGCAGCATGCAATTCCGTCTTCATTTCACATATGACATTTTCGTATTTAATGGATGTACAAATCAATATATAAACAAGTGTATCTTCGATTAGGGTCGTCGTGTTTTTCGGATAAGTAAATTTTCACTTGTACCAGTCTTCTTGTTTTTACTTCACATCTTAAGTATTTTAGCAGTTCCTCGTTTTCAAGTATAAATATTAAGTGACGCGAATATAACGATCGACTGTCTAACACTTGGAGGTAGGAAAAAGGTGAAGGTAAAAATACTTGATAGGAACTACATGACTAGAGCATGCAGGCGTAATCATTCTACGTATTCCCTTGCTCTTTAAATTAGGTACATAATTCCATCTCCGACCGGAATGTGTTCTCTAGAAGTTCTTGAAAAGATCCGCTGACTTCCAAGATGAGTCACTACAGACAGTGACTTCGACGCAAGACCTCATCGACTAAGTAGTCACTTCATGACAAGTCCACATTATCGGATAATAGCCATTCTGGAAGCATAAATAAGTGCACTAATATAGGCCTAGACCTAGATTCTACATCCGCGGGAAACACTAAATCACAAAATGTAATTTATCCTTATATTAATAATAACTTTGCTGATATTTATTCATGTTAACCCGTCATGCTATTAGCCTACTGATTAATGTTCACATGCACCGTCTAATTGTAGTACTCCAATTGAATTAATTCAATCAACTAGAGAAGCTAATCAACCATAGTTGTATTTTAACTATTATGTTTCCTTAACAAGCTTTGGTAGCATTTAAATGCTTTGTGAAAATGGTTTGTAAAGATACTGACCACAACAAACTATGGTCATGAGTAAGGCGGATAGTTGGAAACGACGAAAAAACGTTTTATTAGTATAAGTTCGCCCGGTCGTCACCTACTGCTAGTTAAAATGGACACAAAAATACAGCGATTGTAGGCATCATATAATGACTGAAGGTAGAGATATCTTTACTATTTGTGTTGTTACAAATAATGAATTCCCTAAACTTATCTTTCAACTTGTTTTTGTTTACACGTCTAAGTTTATTATCATACTTTAGATCATTACTGATACTTAGTAGTTAATGTTCCTATTGCGTTATTGTTAAGTGTTAACTTATTGATGTGAAGAGAAATAGAAAAGCGATATTGAACAACGGAAGCCATTTCCTAGGACATCGCTTCACTTACTTCAAAGTCTCTAAAGTATTAACATTTGTCCCTGTTTTATTATGTTGGAAGCTTTCGTGTAACGTATATGTCACTGTAATCTTTTCTATTCCAAAATTACTGGAATTCTGACGTAACGTTTGCACTCCATTTTTCTACTCTAATGCCCTAGACTGGACGCAACTGTGTTTTTCTTATTTGTTGTGAGTTGTAGTTTTTCTAGTCATACATCTAACTAGATCAAGAGTAAATCGAGTGATTTTCCGTCCAATTCTTCTCTTTCCTGTCTTGTTAACCTAATAATCAGGTAATAGGTCAGTTATACAAGTTTTCTTTTCTCTGTTCTTAACACCCTCCAGCCACAATTGAACTCACGCATTCTCCAGCCTCAAGACTTTAAACTAGGTTGAGACAATTCTCTCCTGTACATTAGTGGGCAAACGGATCAATGACGTAACACATACACACTTAGATTGTATGAAATTTTGTATTTCATCGACGTTACTATACAGTTAACAAAATATGCTTTATGTAATTTAATGGGTTGTATAATCTCACGTACATAAGAATGATAGCGAATTAAATAAAATTCTATTTGAAAAACAATTATTCATTTTACTTCCAACAATGGTAGTTCTGACTTCATATTTACGAATGGAATAGTTCGACCGGTGGAAAAGTAAATGATCATTTTCCTCACTGATATATCTTCAAATGTACTGGAGGTTGTATAGTGATAAAAAATGTTTGCAAATATTGCAGCATATTCAACTGCAGAAAATATAGTATAAGCTAGAATAGAAACATCAAAGATGGATGAGTTGTTACTAAAACAACGGATCAGAATTTACTTGTGAATTTTGAATGAAAATATTAAAGCTATTCGTACGATAAAGCGAGTAGACAAGTAGCACACGCCTCTGTAAATATAGTGTAGCATTCGAGACTGAGAGGCAGTTTGGTATTCTTCAGATTGTATAAGTTTTATCCAGGGAGCAAATGACACATCCGGCAAATACCGGTTTGTATTTGGCTTTTAATAAACTCAACAAAGGTAGTTTATTTTTAGGTATAGGCTGTTCCACAAACGTTTGTGTTTAATAACTTGATTTTAAAGTATATCCACTATAAATATGATTGTACTTTCACGGATACCACTCAACTACGCCATTTGGGAGAACCTATCAACTCCTGGAGCTTCTTTCCTCTCTTAGAAGTGATTGCTCATATCATGAATATCCATGGATATAAATTCAAGTGAACAGAGTGAACTACGTAGTTTCAAGGTTCACAGTAAATTTGTTAGCCAGTGAATTAACTTCGTAAAAAAATTCAAGATTACTACACAGTTCTGGATTGTTTTACGGTCCTTACTAAACATCATATTAGTATTAAGAGAACCATTTTCTACATTCACACTATACAGAGAAAACTATTGAGAATTTTCCCTACGATGAATAAAATAACTAAAATATTAGATAGGTACTGTAGTTTATTAAACGTACCATATGGAGGACAAAATGTCATGTGAATCCAATAACACAGTCCATCAATCAACAAACAAATTAAGTAGAACGCCATAAGATATATCTTCTTTCGTAATATGTTACTCTGGAAAACGATGAAATCATCGGTATATTTAGATAGTAAAATATAGGTGCATGAAACATTTATGTAAAGCAAATGATTCAAGAAGACATGTGTATACACGGTTGGAAGCTAAGAAGCCAAAAACTTAGCCATAACATACACTTCTTCATAACTAAAAGTTCAGGTATATTACCTCCTACAAGCGCTTTCGACTTCGTTGTGCCTCACCTTCAACGTATTTTGTTCACACGTATACAATGTAATCCAACCACATGAAAAACGTGTTTATAAAAACGCATTATTGGCAGCATTTCAGTTTTAATCACGAAAATACTTTAGACCAAGTTGATGTGTGTTCAGAGTTTACTGAAAGCTATAGATGTTACTTTAATTTGTGAAAGCAAAACTTGAACGTTAAGTCTAAAATTATCTTCTCGATGTTTTTAAACCTTACCTGGGTGTTAGTTAAACTTACATCAGAAACTCGTTACATCCATAGAGTGACGTTGAAAGCGGCTTAGTACACATTTGTACAAAGAAGGTAATTGCCGAGGTAAATTATACTTCATAAATATGTCCTGGATAATCGACCGTCTAAAACGTAGGTGTTGGTGGGAGTGTATACCTGCCCAAGCAACCACGCCTCAGCAAAATGGGAAATATCAGTTGCGAGCGAACCGTGAGATTAAAATTAATTTATACCTTTCTTTCCACAAACTAATTCTTTCCTCCCGTATCATACTCTTATATGCAGTCGCCTTCTGTATATTACTACCACTGAAGTAACTGCTTCTATGAATTTGGTGTTCTCCTTCTTGTGCTAACTGTCTAACAGTATGTTGGGAAGTTATATCGAGGTCTCGTACACTAGATGATTTCATTCATATATAGCTAGCTACTCATAGAAACTCGAAAATCACGACAGAAATATTCACACCCTGGTATTTCGAGACCTTTTTCACTATCCGGTTATTCGAGAAATATTAAATTAATGTTACCTAGCATTTTATTATCATCACTGTAGCCTGGAAGTCAATCAGTAGGAAATATGGAACATCTCTATGGACACCACCCATAATACTGGACTCATGGTTTTAATTACGCTCAATAAACTTCCAAACAATATATTCGCTAAATGAATAGCTTAACTACGTGAGCAAACCACTCAACTAAATGACAACACCGTCGGATGAAATTCTCAAAGTTAAATCACTGGCAAGACCGGATAGAAAAACATGATACATATTTCATTATTGGCAATCAAGTTAAGTTGTTTTTAGAAATTGGGTTAAATTATTCTTACCAGAAAAGCATTTTCAGTTGTTTTAAGCCTAAGTTGTAATACGTAAACATCTGTTATCATGTAGACCACCGAGAACAAAGCAAAGGCACAGAAGTAATTGCGGTGCTGAACTGAAAGGAATTGTTGTAAAGTTGACGCTCACTGTAGTTATCAGATGAAGAAACAATGCTAAGCATATTGAGTGAAAATATTTCAATAAAACTTGATAGATATGGCAAATTGGAAAGGGATAAATGACCGCCTGAGAATGAATTGAATTTACGGGAATTTATGTAACTATTTAATAGAATCAACAGCCTCCAAGCCGAACTAATAAGAATCGATATGATCCATATCGTCTTTTGAGGTTCATTGCTGCCAACAGCAGCGCTTAGGGACGGTAGGAAATTGGCATCCTACAAAACTAAAATTTTAGTTGTAATAAATTTACCGTGCAATGAGTCTGGACGCATGAATTTGTAGCCAAACATAATAGAACACATATTACCAATGCACCTGCTGGGAGTGATGAGGCAGCAATGCAAACGTGCCGAAATGTTGCAATAAATAGCATTCAGAAATACAAGCAACCGTGTAAATAATGTAAAGGTCCGGATTTATCCACAAGGCACTTTGTGTACTAGGGGAGGATGCAGAGTAGCGAGAGAAAGGCTGGAAAACAAAAAAAGGTAAATCAACGATTCACCGAGCGCACACAACGCACTTACGTTCAATAACAGAAGCAATCGACAACAATCAGAAATAACACAAACCTCAGATTGGTTGGGGTGATTTGATACCTAATCGTTCGAGCTTATTGCTAAGACATATATGGTTGATCCTATCAAAAGCTTTTGAGAAGTCGAGGTAAACGACGTCAACCTTTCCCTTGCGATCAAGGATGGTTGTCCATCTGTCCACTGCAATCAGCAGGTTGGTTATACAAGAATGACCCTTCCCGAAACCGTGCTGTCGAGGTGAAAAGTTTAAAAATAATAAATAGGCGCGTATACCATCGCATATCAGAGACTCCATAATTTTTGAAGGGATAGAGAAAAGAGCCACCGGTCGGTGGCTTGAAGGTTCACTGCGTCGACATCCTTCGAAAATTGGTGTGATGTGAGCCAGCTTCCAAGTTTCCGGTAATGTGCCTCGGTTCAGCGAGTATGAGAACATCACGCTAAGCGGTGTTGTCAGGATTGAAGCTGCTTCACTCAGTATAGCAGGATGAACCATATCCGGACCAGGAAATGCTGCAGTTTCTGGTACACTAATCCAGCGCTCAGGTTCACTTCGGAAAGTCCTGTGCAGTTGCAGATGAAGCTTTTATCAATATAGTTCATGTGGGTCGGTTGAAATATCCGAGAGTACTGTTCGGCCAGGTTAGCGACGTCACCGTCGTTGTTGGTCGGGCTGTATGACGTAATAAGCTTTTGGGATTGGACACAAATTTATCAATAAGCTTTATCTGGTACTGAAGCCTGTCTTCTGTTATTACCTTTGTACATATGTTCCTCACACGTTTTGTTGCTTATATGCGCCGTTGTTGTTAGTTCGTTTGTATTCCGTTCAACAGTGCCTTTTGCGGCTTAGCAAACGAAGAGTGTGGTTCTTGATGACTGCAGGTTGCTTATAGATTTTGGGGACCATTTGAGAAACAGACTGCGTTGTAGCACATAAGAGCGTGTACAATAAACCCCAATGAGCATCCACATCTAGTTGAGGGTGAATTTCTCAATCCACCTGTTGTAGATTGTCCTGTAAAGCTGACACATTCAAGCGTTTAAAATTCCAGAGTCAGTCAGCTACAACGTAGGACCAGGCACATATATGCACCAGTCCAAGTCGCCATACCTCATTAACACAACAAGATGGACACCGGATTCATAAAAGTAGTTAATTTAGAGGTGGTAATATATAAAAGAAAGACTGCAATAAGGATACGGTACAGGAAGAAAGAATTATTTAGTAGAAAGAAAGATATGAAGCGATTTTAATCTCTTAGTTTAAGGGAAGACAGAGAGTGTATACACCGACGCCATTGTGATCGATTCTGAGCCATATCACCAAGAGTCTCCAACCATTGGTTACGATAATCACGCGGACCCCAACCAAGTAGTCTGCATCTACCAACATGGCTCAGACTAAAAGTTAGTGACTTCAAGCAGAGCCTGTTGTTGGTGGGGTGTCTTAGCTGTTTTACTGATAGAACTAAAGGCTGTGACGGCGTGATCGCTCCTAGCTGGGGGAGCCAGAAATGATTGTCAATTAGGAATTCTTTGTTTGTAAATACCCAGTCTCCATCGAGTTGCCGACGTCACATTTCCGAATAATCCCAGATCCTCAATAAAGTTGTAAGACCGAGCTTCAGTAGAGTTTCCACCTCCAATATACGTATGTTTCGCGAAATTGACTTTAGGAAAATTGAAGTCTCCTAGAATCAAGATATGAGTGAATCCGAGGCGAGTAGAGCGGGATAATCCTTCTAGCATACGATTGTCGTACTCGATGTTAGCAGTGGGCTTCCTGTAGATGACTCCAACTAGACACCTCAAGGTGGTAGACAATCTCACTGAGCACCGTACGGACTCATCAACATTGATAAACTCATGGTTGTGCACTTGATGTACCTCCAGGCAGGATCGTAAGTATAAGGCTACTCCACCCACAATTCCTGATTTTCTGTCATTGAGAAACAAAGACATCCCGAGTATTTCTAGCTGGTCCGTAAGCTGAGAAGATAATCAAGTTTCAGATGTTCATATCAGATAAGCATTATTAGCATAGCTGAGTTCACGTAGCTTATCCATTTTATTCGACAAACTCGCGGTGTTCGTGTATAAGCATTTTATGCTTTAAATTTGAAACGCGTGAGCTTCCCCACCCTGTTTGTCTGTATGAGCCTTATGTAAATGGACAGGTAGCCTACCTATACAAGGTTTCCCGTGTTGGTAGCCCCTGTCCTTTCCACGTTTTTTATTATCAAGACAGCTTACAAGTGGAATGGTCAGCTCCAACTTGCCTTCGTGCTTGATCCTGGCATCATGCGGCTTATCCGGATGCGCATGGATTCTAGTTGGCAACCGATGTCTATTGGCACGAAACGCTCCCAAAGTTGCACCCGCCATATGGTTGGATGAGAAGATTATCTTCATTAGCCAGGGTCTAGAATTCCCATCTTTCTCGGCTAGTCACATCACTTGTTGAGTCAATGTTTTTGAGCTTCTAGGATTGCTTGATAAATTTCTATTCTCGAATATCACTTTGTGTGGTCAGGGTCCGAGTTTTCCGGTACACCTTGCATGATGATATTTCTTCAGCGGGAAAACTCACGAGATTCCTTAGGGATGCTCCGGATGAGATTATCCTTAGAATACGGTGTCAGGCAGTATTCTTACATTCCCATCTGATTTCAATAAGTAACTAGCTAGTAGGTAATCCTCTATTTTCGAAAGTTCAGGCTTCTTGTTTAACTCTTCCCAGAGCATCCTGTCATGTTTGTCCTGCAAACTGAGGGGGAGGTCAGGGTTTTCGTTAAGATTCATGATTACGAGAGAATCATCACGAACCGTTATTGTTTTCGCAGGTTTTTGGGTGCGTTCAGGTTTCCCTACGATACTTAGGATGTTCAGCTTCTTAGACGGTGACACCTGGTCGTTTTTAACTTTGTTAACGGGGGTTCAATCACCTACATTTTTTGGGAATTACCGTTGCATTCAAGGATCCTGTGCTAGAAGATTCAAGTCTGCTGATGGAGTGTAATACCGTCGATGGTACGGTGGTGCTGAGTTTCAGCATGTCATCACTAGTGTTATCAGATGTTCCAACGATAGTAGCGCTGTCGAGATTAATTTCCTTGTTTTCATTGAGCGTCTTTGTATGTCCACCCATTTTAAGACTTTTTTCAAGGTTCCTGACAACTTATTTCGCAGACTTGTTAACAGGACAATGATGATGTTCAGAAAAACCATAGCATCCGTGTTGCACATGACACTGTAGGGTCAGTGAAATGTCACTGAGCCCTAGCCAAATCATCCGGCAGTTGGATCACTGAATGTCGAAAACTTACAGAGCTATTTATTTTAGGGATTTATTTACCGCTACTGAATACCTGTGACATCATCAACACGTACCCATCTATGATCCGACTTACTGAGTCTGTTTTAAGCAGTTACTGTGAGATCTGTGCACGCTCCGTGGAACCAACCTTTGCACTGCATGCCAGATATAGAAGTAAAACTGCAGCTGGGTCGTTTGCATGAAATTTCATGACTATAGTGACGTAAAGTGTTGTATAGACCCTAGAAAAAGCCGAAGATCGTGAAAAAAACAATGCACTAAAAACAAGTAAAAATGGATAAAAACGGGTGGTGCAAAAGGTTAGGATACATTCAAATTAGCTATGACGTGAAAAGCTGAAGAACCGAATAGTACCCAATCAATCGTTGCTGAATTGTCTACTTTCCGCCTAAATATACGCCACATTGTCCTTTCTTCGCCTAAATACACTCCGAATTGTCTACTTTCCGCCTACAATTATAGGCTATAATTATAAGCTTAAGCCCAAGCTCTCAATTTTGGGGAAACTCGAGTTTCCCCAAAATGAGCCAAATTTTCCCCAAAATTGACAGCTTGGGTCCCGGAGTCAAATGACCACCAATGTTTGAGGGAGCTCGGGTCGGGAGCTTATAAGCTGAGGCAAAACCACAGTTAACTATTAAGTTGGATAAAACTCAAAAAGAAAGGTAATATACCGAACGTATAGCTCAAAACAGGTTCTTGAGATTGGAAATGGTACTTTTGTTGCGTAAGAACACAGCAAAAGTTTGAGGGATGCTACCGTACCATTTATGCTTGGCGCCAGTCTATGAGCCTCAAATTGTTTCAAGTGGTTCTTAACGGAACAGAAGAAGCTCACGCTTAACGGGCTTCCGTATCTAGTAACAGTGGATCACTGATAACTCAAGGTAGGAACCTGAGCATATTATTATTAAAAGAAGAAAAAGAAAAAACAGTTGGTGAATCATAGTTAGCATCTGTAAGCTTTATAGAATAGGACAAAAGTGGATTATGAAAGTTCTCAGGAAAGCCACCTTTCGAAGGTTACATTTGCCACAATTGAAGAAAGGAATCTGATTCTAGACAACTCATGTAAACTGATTGGATCCGGAATATACGTCCATGAGGATCTCACCCTATCTGATCGTATTAAGACGAGCTGCAGAAGTAGAAATAAGCGAACGCCGCCGAAACAGTGAAGAAAACCTCGTTCTTGAGGGTTTTTAAATGGTAAAAGTTTGGAGCAAAACGATCTCGAAGCTACTCTGGTTGGTAAGGGAAAGTTCTCCACAGACTTAAAGATATGCTACACAAATGCTCATAGCCTACTAAAAAAATGGTGGATAAAGAAAGACCGGATGTTATGGCTGTGTCAGAAACTTGGTTAACGTCAGAAGTATTAGATAATGAAATTCAGTTGGTTGATTTTTTATCCATTAGGGCTGACAGGGTAAACTGTAGGGGAGGCAGGATTGTCCTGTACACGAAAAGTACCTTAACCATAAGAGCATGTAG